GAGGGAGGGATAGCAATGGTACTTAGACCTATATACTGCTTCACAGTGCTTTACAAAGCCCTCTCTAAGCGGTTTACAGAGTCAGCCTGTCGCCCCCAACAATCCGGGTCCTCATTTTACCGACCTCGGATGGATGGAAGGCTGAGTCAACCTTGAGCCCTGTCAGGATCGAACTCCAGACAATGGGTACCGTTTGCCTGCAATACTGCACGGTGCCACCAGGGCTCTTCAAAGCCTATTGACGGCAATCTCTATGCGGTGATTTAACACACCCATCTCTTTCTTTTTCCAGATGATCTGGGTTTTCACGTGTGTAGCATCCATCATCCTGGGATTGGATTTGGGATTACTTGCTGGTTTGGTATTTGCCCTGCTGACGGTGGTGCTGAGAGTTCAGTTGTGAGTATAATCCCCCCAAAAGAATTTTGCGCCCAAGACTGGAAAATAAATGCAAATCCCTCCCCAGACAGAGCTTTTTCAAGCACAAAGTGCTACCAAAGCTGCCATTGCTTTTGCTTTTGCTATTTGCGGATAGCCCTTGACTTCATTTAGCAGCTGTACTGAAAAATATGACTTATAACCGGTCCTTTTGCTCCTGATGGTCGCAGCATCCCCATAGTCACAGGATCACAATTTTGGGCACTTGGCAACTGATTGCAGCATGCTGGGGTTGTGTGATCGCTATTTGTGACCTTCCCAGAGAGCTTGTGACAGGCAAAATTAATGAGAGAAGCCAGATTCGCTTAATGACAGCAAGATTCACTAAAACTGCAATAGAATAGAATAGAATAGAATAGAATAGAATAGAATAGAATAGAATAGAATAGAATAGAATAAAGAAATAAGAATAGAATAGAATAGAATAGAATAGAATAGAATAGAATAGAATAGAATAGAATAGAATAAAGAAATAAGAATAGAATAGAATAGAATAGAATAGAATAGAATAGAATAAAGAAATAAGAATAGAATAGAATAGAATAGAATAAAGAAATAAGAATAGAATAGAATAGAATAGAATAGAATAAAGAAATAAGAATAGAATAGAATAGAATAGAATAGAATAGAATAGAATAAAGAAATAAGAATAGAATAGAATAGAATAGAACGCAGAATGGAATGGAATGGAATAGAAACTGGAAGAGACCTTGGAGATCTTCTAGTCCAGCCCCCTGCTCAAGCAGGAGAACTTATATCTTGTCTAGTCTCTTCTTTAAAATCTCCAGTGATGGAGTACCCACAATTTCTGGTGGCAAGCTGTTCCACTGGTTAACTGTCGTCACTGTCAGGAAGTTTCTCCTTAATTCCAGGTTGTTTCTCTCTTTGATCAGTTTCCAACCATTGTTTCTTGTCCTTCCCTCTGGTGCTCTGGTGAACAAACTGACCCCCTCTGCCTTGTGGCAGCCCCTCAGATAATAATTCACTTATAATTCACCATGGCAAAAAAAAAAGGTTGCAAACAGGCTGGGACTCATTTAACAACCACCATTCTGCTCCCAATTGTGGTCGTAAGTTGAGGACTACATGTATTTCACAAGTTAGGCTATCAGTGATGGCTGAGCTACCCTTGCTTGCAACAAATTTTGTATATGGCTCCCAGCCATTGCTTGCACCAAATTCTGTTCTGTAGGATTGCATTGGTTTTAATTTTGAAATCTTGATCTTGACCAATATTTTGTTTTGTTTTGTCAGTCCTTCCTGGGGTAAACTTGCTAACGTTCCTGGCACGGATCTGTATAAGAACATCAAAGAATACAAAAATGTAAGACGGTCTAGCAAACTAATATTTCAAATACTTAGAGGGGGGAATAAAAGGATGTTTAAGATTTATTTCGGAGTTGATTGAAATGCGGCCTGCATGACGAAAGGATGGATAGGTCCATTTCTGGAGTCTCATAAAAGATAACAGTGGGCCGATCGAGAATTAATAACCACTTGAAGCATATCAAGCCAAATCTATCTGTTCATCAATTCACTGTTACTTCAATAGATTATGGCAGGGGTAGACAACCTTGGCTCTTTTATGACTCGTGGACTTCAACTCCCAGAATTCCTGAGCCAGCAACGCTCAGCTTGGAAACTTCTCCCTTTTCCCTCAGCGTGGCTGGCTCAGGAATTCTGGGAGTTGAAGTCCACGAGTCAGAAAAGAGCCAAGGTTCCCCATCCCTGCCCTATACCAGGGGTCTTCAAACTTGGCCCTTTTATG